AGTGACGCCGACCAAAGACGCAGAGCAACCCAACATTACCTAGGCGGGGGGTCGTCCGTCTCTGCCGCGAGGCAGACAGATGGATGTGGGGGGGGAACCTCTCAGTAAATCATCTCCTGTCTACACAGTAAACCTACCATCTACCTTAACCATGCAATGAAAGCATGGCGGCCAAGGCTGCGGTGGCCGTTGCGGCCCCGACCCCGAGCAGCCTGACCTGCCTTTGCGGAGGAGACACGCAACATGGAACAGACTAGAAATTCCAATCAACACGCATCCTGCCCTCGGCTGGAACCGACCCTCCCGAAAGGTGGTCATTTCTAAGAGGCGCGCCAGAGGAGAGGGCCTCCAGCTCGAAACAATACCGGCCATCGAATTTAGCCTCCTGGCGACCCCCCTCCCCCTGTGGCGCAACCAATCATACGGCGCCCAGCAGGCTGTTTCCCGTTCAATTCCAACCCAACTCTGCTGGGTCTGCTCCACACGACGATGACTCAACACCAAGTTTGTGAACACCAGAACTTATTGTGCCGCCGAGACGGCCAGGCCAGACAACGGCGCATGGTCCGCGATATCGGACGACGTGGTATGTAGCCCGCCCTGGGGGGCCTGGGCAGCCAGCCAGCCCTGTGCCTTTTGTTTTTTTTTCCTTGGTGAGGCCTCTGTTCGGCGGCAGCAGCCGTGCCAACACATGCGCAAAGCTTCGATCATCTGAGCAACAAAAAAGCAAAACCCCTCACTGAAACCAACAGGCTGACGGAGCCCCGTCAACGACGCAAGAAAAAAACAAATAATGCTCGACCAAATGCCGTGCCAGAAGCCTGCGCAGGCAAACAGTCAGATCACGTTGTCGTCCCCCCCTGGTGGAGAGAGCATCAGGAGCTTCTCCCGTCAGCTCCGGCGGTGGAATAGACGAACCAATGTTTCCCGCATAATGGAAGACATGCTGCACATACAGAGTAGAGACCGCAGCGGGCTTACTATTTCCCCTCTCAGCCGATTCCCGTCACCCGACACATGTGTCGACAACGACGGGCCACTCGATAGATTACCGCGCGGCCCAGCGGCTGAGCCTTCACTAAAAGGGGCCGCCGCCACCCGCCAGACGAGTGACTCCTCCGAGCGCTTTGTTGGACTAGAAACGGCGTTTGCGGCCTCCCAAAGCTGAGGAGAGCTGCTTGTAACCGTATCCCAGAAGGCTATGGGAAAACACGTGACCTACTTCGGTAACCCCTTGGATTCGCCAGGTTCCAGGTTATGGAATTGTTTCTAGCGGAGTGTATAATGGCGCTGGGCCGGCGAATAGAGGCTGGCTGGAATGACACTCGCTCGTGAGTTTCAGCTCTTACTGCGGATCCGTAAGGTAGGCACGGGGCACTAGATTTGGCCACTCTCAGCCCTCATCAAATGCCGAGAGTGGACAACGCCGACGCCAACCAAACCAACTGGGGACCCAGCCTAGCTTCGGGTGTTGCAAAGGCTCTCTTTCTCATGGCCAGAGCCCGGGAACTAGACCGGCTCCAGCCAAGTCTCTTGTCGGCCGATTAACACGAGAGAAAAGGGTCGACTTCTCGTTCCAATACGAAAGGATCATCAGTCGGCAACCCCAAGTCCTGCTACCCGTCCGTGGCTTGCCCCGTGTGTGGCGACGGCCACCCGGGGCAGCTGGGCAACCTGCACTAATATACCGGTCCACAGGATAGAGTAGGGTGTTGATCATCACTTGCACGATTGCCCGAGGTTGTCACACAGATGCGACCTCCGGGAGCAGCAAGGACGGACAGCAGCAACAAAACCAGGCTGCCGCTGGTGGTGCTGGTGCCCAGTGGTGGTGCTTCTTTGTGCCGTGCGCCGGAGTGTTTGAGATGGTTGAGTCAGCGCGAGCCGGCCGACCCTGACTCTGACTTGGACCCTGATCCTGACGCCGAACGAGCCCGCCCGCCCTGAACTGACCCGTCGTCCCACAGTCGTCCGCCAGCCAGCCCACGATGGGGATCGGAAGGCTTGGCCTGCTGGACTTGGCTTCCTTTGGTTCTCGTTGGAGAGTGGCTTGGTTATTATCGATCTATCTCTCCTTCCGGATGACGAGCATCCCCAAGCCCTTGCAAGCCAAGCCAAACCCCCCCATTTCGCCTTTCACCTTCGCCCCCTCAGCGACGCCGCCTCCCCTCTTCCCCCCTTCTCACTTCCCACAAAGTTACCCCACATTTCCGCAGCGCACCGGAATGGCGTGAACGGAACTTCATTTTGCACCTAGGCGGCGCGGGCGGGCTCCAGTTGTCCGGCTTTAGTCTTTGGAAGGGTTGCTGGCGTGACTGCGCGACTTCCCAGCCCCGGGAACGGCCACGTCCGCCCGTCCCAACGACGGTGACACACATACACACGCGCACCACCCAAAAAACCTGATGTGGAGCAATGGAGCCCCCAGCCAGGTTGTGGCGATTCCCAGAACACTGGGGTGGAGGAGAATGGTCCACTAGGTGCTAACAACCCAGCGAGCGGAAGGAGAACAAAGTCACGGGGCACCGCGCTGGCTCGGTACGTAGCTCGCTCCACTGGCCTTCACCTTTTCGCGCGCTGTGCCGAGAAAACGAGAGACAAACCCCGAGTTCGCCGCCACCAATTGGAAGCATTCCTGCCTAATGTTTAGTTGAAGGCAGCTTATATCCCGTAATCGCACTCACGCCGTGTGTGTGCCTCTGCCCGTGGTGTGCGTGAAGCGTAGGGCGAACCGGCGATTTCCCAAAAAGGATTACAGGTGGGCAAAGAAAAGGATCAACGAGGTGGATTTTCCTGCTTATTTAGCGCAGGCAGCAGTCTGGCGTCTGACATCCAGGGAACCACCCCACCACCACCACCGAACACCTCCTTTTTTGTTTCCATAAACTTAAGTTTTTTTTGTTCATGTTGAGATCATTCATCAGCGGCATCGGCATCAGCATCACGAGCTTCTTGTTTCACGCGATTCCAGTTATAGGCGCGCTGCGTATCTTCGTAAGTCATCCTATATCCATATGGCTCAGATGGGCCCCTCCCTCCCGCTTCCCTCCCCGCCGTTCGGGCCGGAGCGAATCGGAGTGAATCAAAGTGAATCAAGTGAAAGTGTTTCCATTCACATACATCATAATCGCAAATGACGATGCACCCCCCGCGCCGCCGCCCAACTTAAGGTGGTTTCATCAGTGCAGTACCTCTGTAGGTAGCTACCGTAGCCGTGCATAACCAAATCGTGATTTCGGAGTCAGACGGCATGGCAGGCATGCAGGCATGGCAATAGTAGGTTAATAACAAAACTCAAGATGGCGCAGTAGAGAGCGAATCTCGGAGTCCGGAACCGCTCATGTTTGTTTTCTACGAACATAACCTGCTGCGCATAAGGTCACGGGGTCGCCGCCAGATCCTCCAGCACAGATTCCATCATGACTGAACAGTTATACCACACGCACACACACACACACACACACAACTTGAGAATAGAAAAATTTGTCCGGCCCAGGTGACGAGGATTCATTCCCGCTTCCCGTACGTGACAGACAGATATGGCTCACCGCCGGTGACCCAAAACGGTTCCCGGTTCGTTCGTTTCGTGTCTGACCATGGGCCGAGTCTGGCCGCATTCCTGCCTACCGACCTACCTTCCTGCCTACCTGACCTGCTTGCTGCCTTTTGTTCCTCAACGCTTTGCGCCGATTTCTGAGGAGGAAGGGGTTCTTTGTGGCGGGCTGTAATTTACATTCCGTTCCTACCAGGCTATTTGGTTGGTTGGTTGGTTGGTTGTTAGTTAGTTGGCTCCCTCCTCTGCGGGTGGCGTTTGTATATACCGAAGGTAGGATGATTTTGTGGCCTCGCTCTTTCCGGAGGAGTGGAGGAAGGAGCCGCTCGTAAACGTTGAACTCAGTCACAGTGCCAGCATCGTAAAACTTACTTTCTCATCTCTCCCGCACAGACGCCGCCGCCGCCGCCGCCACCTCCACTTCCCTCAGCCTGTTCAGAGTCACTCACATAGTATGTATCATGTGTTTTAACAAACAAATTCGCCGCTAGTCTTCTCTCCCCTTGTGAGTCCCCTTGCCCGCCTACCTACCTGCCTACTAGGTAGGTAGGCAAAACGGCCCGCTGACACGGCTCCGTGGGCTTCGTCAACGGGTCTCATTGTGTCATCTTGAGAGGATTTTCTTAATATATACAGTGTCATACTACTGTGAGGTTGGCAAATACTCTACCGAGTAGGGGCGACGGCCGGGCACGTGTGTGTCACATCGCACAGGCAAACAAGGGCGGAGAGGAGAGGTAAGAACAAAGAGATAGTGACTGTCGGTTGTTGATAGCATTTGCCTGGTTCCTGTGACTCGTAGGTTATTGCCCTCTCAACTTGGTGCCACGGGAGATAGTAACAAGGCACGGCTTCTCTGTCCCGGTCTGCAGCCCGGCTCTTGGGGGGTTGAGACGGCTATTGCAGGGAGTTATGGGGGTTTGACTTTTTTCGTTGTTACGAGAGGCCCTGGTATCCCTTGGAAACAGAACGTTTACAGACCATCAACCTAGAATGTACTTACTTAGTGACCAAGTGCTACTGACTGACTGACTGCCGTAGAATGTTGTGTGATCAAGTAGCAACAGTCACACCAGGCATCAGTTAGGCGGGATGCCGAGTTGACGAAGGAGCAAGATTGCTGTCTCTCCCCGGCAGATTAGTTATGTTCTGCTTCTGGTTTTTTTTTTTTTCCTCTTCTTTTTCTTCTCCTTTTCTTTTTCTTCTTGTTTGTTTCTTGGATGCTGGACATATCACTTCCTTGACACCGACTTCACCTTGAAGAGCTTCAGAGGCTACTCCCTAGGTAGGCAGGAAGTTTAATTTCCCTGTATACATGATAAACAAGCATGAACATACCTACACACACAAATAGGGTGACAAAACAGCAAAGAAGAAAAAAGAATTGTTTGGATATGACCCTGACCCGATTTGAACCTTTGAGATTGTTAGTTGTTGATTCATTGCGTGGTACTGTGGAGAGTTGAGAACGTACGGATAACCTTTCGATCTGGAGTCGAACGCGCTACCGTTGCGCCACAAGGCCTCTTTGCCTCTTGTTGAATTCCACACACGGCGTCAAAACCCAAAGAGCCCCTCCCGTCTTCTTGCTCGGGCTCGGGCTCTTGGTGGAGGCGGCACTGCGGAGTGGGAGACTGAGTGGATAAAGTGGTGTGTAGAACATCTCTCTGCATGGGAACCATCCGGGAATGGAGACAAGATGGAGAAGCCATCCGCCGCCTACCTTCCAAGGAGACATGGATCACCGCTTTCCGCTTCAGCTCAGTTCTGTTTGTCAAGCATGGTGTGGAACATCACAAGGCGAATACAACAGTCTTTTCCCACTCAAGCAGACCAATTGTTTGTTGTCGATCCTTCATATTGTTCTTCTCAAATGGTAAATGGACTGAGAAAATAATCCCCTCGCAGCAATGGAACAAACAGTTGACCAGTGAGCAACAGGACACAAGAGGGCAGCTCCTAAACACCAACGTCCATTATTACTATCTACTTCTATTCTGCACTCGCTATAGAGTGTACTCTACCTCTAAGAGCACTAGTGATATTCATCCCTCTAGTCAGGGGCGTTTGATCGTTGACAAGTATGGCGTATACCCAAAGACTACGCATGTGATAAGCAAGCACAATCCCTCCCGAGCCTGTAGAACAGCCTCCCGCCACCCCTACAACCTTGACCTAAACGCCTACACGAGCTTGCCCCCTTTGCAAATTATGATAAACTGCCCAATACGAAAAGCAAGAAGCTTGACTCCTCCTGTCTCCGGCTCGACAGTCCTTGTGTCCAGCGAGACAAATACGTGGCACATCTAGAACATAACGGGATCCGAGTTATGTGGTTCTCACAGACTAACCTAGCAAGAATGGAACGCACGCACCGGGGCAAGCACAGCTAGAGCAGCCGCAATCGCAAACTAGATTTTGAGTTGTTAACCGGATGCCACATTACTTAGCAGCTACAACAGTTACCGTGGGGACTGGACTTTCGCTGTCCATCTACCCATAATCTCTCCTTCGGAAAGAAAAAGATGGCTGTGTGACTTCCGGCACTGACCCTTTCTAACTGTACATGGCCTTAATTGGCCGAAAAACCTCCGGAATCTGCTGGTTTTCTTGAGCTTTTCCTGTAGCACATACGCCCTCCTGAGTTAGCCTACGAAAGAAAGTTAAAGAAAGAAACCGAGAAACTCCAATAATAGCATCGCAGCATTGGTCAAGAAAACCAATGCTCGATTCTCCTGGCCCTTTGACAAGCCTACGAAGCCATGTAGGTGGAGGCATCAATTCCTTCCTTGGGGAATACACTGCAAGACAAGTTAGCATATGAAAGGGCGAGGGAGGGAAAAAGGGGGTCAACACGTACGGCAGTTCCACCTCGAACCGCTTCTCAACGGCCTGAAGAACCTCCTTATCCTGGTCGCTAGTAACGAACGAGATGGCGAGACCTTTGGTACCGAAACGACCGGCACGACCAACACGATGCAGGTAAGAGTTGGCATCGGCGGGGAGATCGTAGTTGATGGCCAAGTTGATGCGCTCAATATCGATACCACGACCAAAAACGTCCGTAGCAACACAGATACGCTTGTTGAAGTCCTTGAACTCCTGGTAACGGCGAATGCTATCGTCGGAGTTAGCACGCAAACTTTCAAATCGATTGGAGACAAACTCACCGCTCCTCCTGGCCCACACCAGCGTGCACAGCGATGGAAGGAAAATTGCACTCGCGCAGGAGCTTGTCAAGCTCCGTGGCACGGGCGGCGGTCCGCACAAAGATGATGACCTGGTTGAACTGTAGTTCATCGAGCAGCTCGTTCAGCTTTCGGTTCTTCTCATTCTCATTGAGATTGATGTAGTATTGCTGAAGGCCGTGCAGCGTCAACTTTGTATCCTCGTCAACGATTTGCTCGGTGGGGTTCTGCATGAACTTTCGGCAAATTGGCTTGATCTCGTCTGAAAGTGTCGCGGAAAACATCATGACTTGCTTTTGCTGAGGCGTGGCTCTAAAAATCTCTTGCACATCGCGGCGCATATCTGCGAGGGTCAGTATAGGGCGTATTGAAATGACAGGACGCAGGGGAACGTACCGATTTGCTCGAGCATCTTATCACATTCATCAAGAATGAACATGCGGACGCTACCAAGTCGTAGGTGCTTGTCCCGGACCAACGCATTAAGACGGCCGGGGGTGCCCACGATGATATGGGGGTGAGTCTCTTTGTTTTTCAAAAGCTCGGCGTCCTTCTGGATGGGTGTCCCACCGTAGAAAACGCCGGTTTTGATCTCGGGCATGTATTTGCTGAATCGATTATACTCGTTTCGAATCTGGAATGCCAACTCGCGGGTGTGGCACATGACCAGGACTGAGCACTCCCCGGCGACGGGCTCGACTTGCTGGAGAGTGGTGAGGACGAAGACGGCCGTCTTTCCCAGACCCGACTTTGCCTGGCAGATGATATCGCCACCAAGCATCGCCTGGGGAATACAAGACTGCTGAACTGTAGTTGACGATTGGATTAGAATCGGAATACGCAAGCGTGAATGGTTACGAAGGGCGGGGGAGACCAGGTAAGGGTTCCGTCCATCGTCGCAGCAAATTATCCGGCTACCTGTCCCGCTACGCTTCTCGGTAGCAGGTTTGGCTCCAGTGAATCAATCGAGGTAGGCGAACGCGTAGCCATGGTGATCCACTGCAGTGGTTATTTGGCCTCGTCCGTCCGCGACGACCATGACCGACAAAATCTCTCGTGGCATTGTGAGATTTAGGGAGGCTCGACCCTGAACCGAGATCCCATGAAGGGATCAGGGCAGGTAGACAGACTCATCAAACCGAGCCTGCGGCTCGCATCTGGCCGCTCTTCTATCGAGCGTGGCAACAGAACCCCCGATAATGGTCATGGTCGTCCGCCTGCCCCTCGCAAGAGGCAAGCCCGATCAAGTCGTTGGCGGTATGGCGACTTGCCCAAGATCGCCACAGGTTTCCGCGTGTCGCCGACGTGCCCAAACGATGTTCGAGTATGGTTTCTTCTCTTCCTCTTTGCTTGCGAGATGGACGGACCCGTAGAAGAGGGCAGGAGGGGTAACGATATAAGCTGGGGATGAAATTGTCAAGACTAACCCTCCGACGGATGCTCGAAACCGCAGTCGGCGATGGCGCGCAGAAGTGAGTTCTTCAAGAGGAAGTCGCGAAATCCGGTTGAGTGAATGCCGACGTACGAGCCCTTCTTGTCGACATTTTGACCAGCTGGAGCAACCTCGCCCTTCTTGCCATTAGCATCGGGTGCAGCGGTCTCATTGTTGAGCTCGTCATCCGAGTAGTCGATTAGATCCTCTTCGGCAGACATGTTGAGAAGATTGTGGTGCGGTCGCGGTAAGGCGACGCGGGTTTCTAGAGTGGGGGATAAACAAAGAGCGGGATGCAGGCAGTTGGCAGGTGGATGCCGGAAGCGGAGATGAGAAATCGAGAGACGCGAGGTCTTTGTTTGTGTCGGTGCTGGGAAAATGAAAATCAAGAGCAGCTCGCGATCGCAACGACGGGGACGCAAGAACGGCCGTTGAAATGGGCCAAGTTGCGCGGTGGGTGATTGATGGTGGAGGAAAAATCGGAATGAGGGAACGGGCGAGAAGCGAAGCGAAAATAAGGTTGAGAGTTGAAAGGACCCAAGCACAGCCTCGAAACCTGGCTGGGGGTGGGTCCATGCCTATTCCGGACTAGTGTAAGGCGAGAGCCAGCTTGGGCTTGGAGGGGAGGGAGAGGGGTGAGAGTGGGCCAGCAAATGGGAGCACGGACCACCCAAAATTACATTTGCAGCCATTTACGGATACGGGGGACAAATACAAATTTCTTGGATGGAAAAGACCAAACACCTCGTTGCGACACTTGCATGGGACTTCACAGACGGCTATCATCGCGGCTCTAGGGCCCTTACCTCTCTCACTTACCGCCATGGCAAAGGGGAAGAGTAACGGCGGGGTGCAGAACCGGGCCATCTACTCACGCGTATCTTTTCTGCAGCAGGCGGCGGTATTTCTCGCGTCGTCACCCTCGCCATCGCCATTGCCGCCGCAGCCGCTGTCGGTGCCGCCTCGCCATTCCTCCACGGTTTCGGCTCCGGCTTCTGCCATTGACTCTGTCTCTGCTCCCGGCTCCAGTCTCTCCCTGCAGGGGATGAGCCGACGGCTAGCCACCGATCTGCGCTCCGTGTCGCTCAAGACTAGGATTCGCCTCAGTCCGGCCTTGAAGCAAACGATCTGCAAGTTCTGCGACTCAATTCTCGTTGAAAGGGAGACATGCACCTCTTCTATCGAGAACAAGAGCAAGGGCGGGAATAAGCCCTGGGCGGATGTTCTGGTGCGCAAGTGTCACACGTGTGGCAGGGAGAGGAGGTATCCCGTCCATGCCACCCGGCAGAGGAGAAAAGGAGAGAGAGATGTGGCCAGCGTCGATTCTCCGCCACAGAAGCAGCAGCAGCAGCAGCAAGATGGCTGAACCCCGGGCAACCAATGAGTTTGAATTTTACCAAGACCGTCTAGTTTAACGACGTCAAGATCGACTCCAAACGCCGCGAGACCCGCAGCATGTCGAGCGACCACAAACGACAAGCCTAGCGGTAGCCTGCATGACCTCAAATTTGGACTTGGAGGAGCTTATGAACAGACGCGTTATTGTTCCTCAGGTGCCAACGTCGCCCGCTTGCGAGCCGCGGCTTAATTCGCCAACATTGTGGTATCAAGACCTGATTTTGATGTCCGCCATCACGTCCTCCACTCATACTACTGCTCTGGCGTACTACATAACCATACTACATTGCGATGGACTTAGCAAACTTTCTTCGTGCCGGTCCTGATACCCAGCATCTATCGCCAGGGTTTTGCCGTCACTTCTGGCTCCCCTGCTGTACCGACTCTTCTCCGAGGACTTTACTGGCAGCCATAAACCTGGGCGGTGATACTTAGCAAACGGACACATGGGAAGGCGACGGAAGTCGACGGGGCAGCAAGCTACACTTACAAACCGCCATGCCAGCT